GCTGCTTTACCTAACGTTGGGAATTAAGGGACAAGAAGGCCTTCACCCACAACTCCCACCCTGAACACACCAGCTGTTGCCCCTGGAGTCCTGCACCACTGGAGTACTGGGTGGCCCAGCTGCCTCTCCGGGGGCAGACTGCCAGGGGTGAGGCTGCCTCCCAAAGGTACAGGTTCACTGCCTGAGGGGCCCATTCTGCACAGCTCCCATAGCTCTGTGTCCAGATGGGGGAGAGGAGTGGACAGAGGGGCCTGGAGGCCAATTCAGCTCACTTCTAAGCTCTCTGATGGCCTCGGGCAAACCTGTTGGCCCCAACTCTTAAGTACAAGGTGCCATGCAGAGTACGTACTAACAAACGTCCCACTCTTAATGGGTACCCACATGGCTACTGGCATTGAGACCTTCTCAGATGATCAGTGGCACAGGCTGCCAGGACTTGGGACACCCATCTTCAGAGACTCCCTCACCTGCTCGGGTGGGACTGGCCAGCTGATAGGACCCCAGAGTTTGAGGCCTGTGCGTGGCTTATGGGGAGAGCTGAGGAGAAGGGCAGTGATCATCTGGCCTCTCCCTGCCCAGCTGCTGTGGCTTGGGGACTGCAAAGACTTCTGGCCCACAGAGCAAAGGCACATGGGGCCAGCTGCTGACTGCATCTTGAAGTCTGAGGCACTCTTCACATTTCTGCCTATTCCTCTACCCTGGGCCCCTCCTAATAGGCATGGGGTCTGCAGCTTCCTGCTGAAGGCACATCAGCCCTCTGGCTTACTCTCCCCAGAGAAGGAGCAGACCTCTTGGCACTGTCCCCATGTGACTGAGGCCCAGGGAGGGGATGTGAACACAGAGGCACTAGAGGGAGGGGCAGTGGTCCTGTGCCCATCCTGGAGGACAGCTCCGTTCTGAGATTCCTCCTGGTCTTGTTCTGTGGGTTCTGAGGCCCCATATGCCAGCCCAGGAATGGGCTTGTGTACGCACTGACACCTGGGGCAGCAGCATGTGCTACAAGAAAGCAGCACCCTGGGGACTCCTGGAGATTCCCACTCTGTGGCCACATTTCCCATCCATGGTCTTGGTTGTATGGGCAGAAAGCAGGAGGCCGGACAGCAAGATGGCTTGTCAGCCTTCAGTGTACCCTTTCAGTAGCCAAGGCTGGCAGGGTCTCCTTTGGTTCTCTTTTGACAGATGAGGAAATGAGGCCCAGAGACATTTAGTAACTTTCCCAAGGCCACATACAGGAGCAGCAGAGCCAGAATTCCAGCCCTGCCTTGCCTGCTTGCCTGCCAGCTCTCACCTTTGAGTTCTACAGTGGCCCAAGTGGACACTCCACTGGCCCTAATTAGGGCCTAATTAGGGCCTAATTAGGGCCTGTAATCTCTCAATACCCACAGAACACCACCCACTGTAAACCTCCAGACCACAGCTGCTTCTTCAATTTTGCCAGGGCCAGCTCATGCCTAGCCTTGGGGAAGGGCCTGTGGTGCCAATTCTGTGCAATCTGGGCTGTCATATCTTTGGTAAGTGCAGCATGGGCTGCATCAGGTTGCAGTAGTTGAACACAGACTCGTCCTCAAGGATGCTATGCTGGCAGAGCCTCATATGCCTCCTCCAGGAAGCCTCCCTGCCTGCGGCTCCTGCCTCCTCTGTTCTGAGCTCTGATTGTGCAGCTGGAGCTAAGTGGGGGTGCCTGTTTCTCAGCTCTTCCCCCTGCCTGGGGCCAGGCCCCCCCACATCTTCCTGTTCCACAGCTGCACCCAGGCTGGGGAGCACACCAAGTGACCTGGGAGGAAGCCACTCCCTGCCCCTTGAAGCTTTCCTTGGCCCTTGATGGTCAGACTGCAGGAAGACCCCATGGAGGGCCAGGTGGCCATCACCAGAGCCCCACGTTCAGGTGCCATAGTCCTCCCAGGGGACCTCAGGCTCCCCTGCCCTGTCCTCACTCCTGCTGAGCCACCCTGCCAAAGACCCTGAGGCCCAGAGCAGGTCAGAGATTTCCCAAGGACCCTCAGTAGACCAGGCAGCAGTGGGCCTTGGGAGTGGGCAGGAGACAGGTAGGGCAGACCTGGGGAGGCCAGGCTGGGACGGCACCAATTTTCAAAGCAAGGGTGGACTTGGAGGGACAGTTCTGTGCACTCTGGGTCTCAGCATGAACAGCCACAGCTGGCAGGGCTGCTGGGCCACGGCTGTTTTCCAAAAACACAGATGGGCTAGGAGGGGGGTCAGAGCAAGGCCTGGGCGGCCTGAGGCTCTGCTAACTCAGCAGTCCAGTCCACACAGGGCTGCAAGGGTGGGGCCCCCAGAAACTCATGGGGCTGCAGACCCCCAGGCTGGGGCACAGCCAGGAAGGACCCTCCATTGGTCTCCACAGACGGGGAAACAGAGGTGGTTCCTGGGATGTTGGCCACTGGAGTCTCTCTATACACTCTGAGTGTCCTCTACTTCATCCTCAGCCTGACGGACCCCAATAATTCCTTAGTCATGGACTCATTGGTACCCCCAGGACCTCTTGTCTCGCATGGGGATAACAGATAACCCACTGCTTTTAGGGGCAGCCTCAGGGGGCACTGCAGGAGCCTTGGAGGCTGTTTCTGGGGTCCCTGGGATCAGGGATGGGGTCTCCTGACAGCGGCAGATGGGAAGGAAGTGGGGAGTCCAAGCCATATGGGGCAGGGCTAGTGGCCACCTGGGTGCAGGGCAGTGAGCTGAGGACAACAGGGGCGGGCAAGAGGGCCAGTGGGGTGCTCGGCGCCAGCACAGCATGACGGGGCTACACAGGGACAGTGGGGAGGCCACCTCCAGCCGGCTCAGCTCCACTTTCGAAGGAATCTGCCTTGCTGTTCCTATGACTGAGGCCAGAAACAATAGTGGGAGGGAGGGGGAGCAGGCTGCACCCCCCATTGTAACCGCCATGTTCCCAGGCTCCGTCCGCCCCAACATCCTTTTCAGAACTGGCCTCTACACCTCCCAGCACTGGGCACCAGGAAGATGTGGGAAGGCACTTACCCTGACCTGGTGGGACCTCAACTGGGAGCCTTCTGGGCCCCCAGGGTCCTCAGCCTCTAAGCACCCATCTCTGGCCCTAGTGGCTGATGTAGCCACAGCAGTGAGGACCCCCATTGGCCTCCAGTTTCAGTAGATCCCCAGTCTTAGCTGCAGCATGAGGGGAGCTGAAAGTGGAAGTCAGATTTCAGCTGGAGGTTTTTTCAGAATGTTATACACCTAGGACATTTGTCCAGCTGGCTGTCCTACAGCCCCCTGGGTCTCTGGCCTACAAGGAGCCTGGGCTTATGAGAGAAACTGGCCTGGGGCTTGATAGTACCATCATTCAACCCCTGACTTCCTTCATAAACTTCCTTCAGAGTCCAGGGCAGCTGCCAGCGGGCAACTTCAAAGCTCTTGTGTGGGCCCAGGGCAACTGCCCAGACAGATGGCTGGAGGTGGCACAAGCTAGCCAGGCCATGGTCACAAAAGTGAGACTTTGGCGCCATCTGCTGGTCATATATATGAATTGCCGCTCCCCGCCACCTTGCTGGGTAGTCCGTAGATTCTTACCCCCCAAACAGCCCCTGTCATAGAGATCAGCTACACTAGGTCCTTCAGCCAGTTCTAAGTCTCCCTACCTCATCACCTGGCTGTAGAAACACCAGCTGGCTTCCATCCTAAGCTCTTCCCAGAGCTACCTTTTCCACTCACCTTGGGTTTTTCCCTCTCCCTGTGTTGGACCCTACGGGTACCAGGTCCTCAAGGACCAGGGATTGATCCCAGCATCCCTGCATCTTCCTTTTGTGCTTCCCAGCTCTACTTTTCCTGGAGAGCAGTAAGGACCGCAAATATTTGCTGCTGATTGAAGAAGGCAAACATTCCCAGGGCTGGGTGCAGATGCCAGTGGGCTCTGCCAGCAGCAGGCACAGCCTAGGGAGCCAGGTTGGAGGTTGCTACACTGGCAGAGCGTCTCAGGTGGGGGGCAGCAGAGGCACAGATGTTCCAACCCTGGGCTTCAGTCTCCCCATTAGAAACACAGGCCTCAGAGTCCCATCCCATGGCCAATGCAAAGGTGACACCTAAGCAGACAGGTAGCCAGTGAGCAGGCTGCCCTTGGTGACACCGTTGGCCCTCCACACATAGGGCAAATGTGAGGGGGAGCCAGCAAGCTTGGGGAGCTTTGGAGAGCAGCTACTCCCCCACCCTCATTGTCCTACAGCTGGGGAGCACTTAGGTGGGCCTCAGCCCCCAACACCAGGCGACAGGGCTAGACACAGCTGATCACCACTACCAGCACCATGGGCAGTGCAGCCAGGTTCCAAGGGCAGCCAGGGTCTCAGGACACAAGAGAGCTGTCCGGCAGATTCCCAGAAGGGGAAGAGCACACGTGACCTGGGCAGAGACTAGGAGCCAAGATCTGTGGGCCTGGCGTACATGGGGTGGCCTGGGAGCTCAGGATGGCATCAGCAGGTGGTCTGGCACCTTGTCCTCTTGTCACCTCAGGCAGCCACTTCTTATCCTGGTAGATGAAGTGGTGACCCCTCACCCTATCTGGTCTCCCCCACTGACCTTTTCTCATGGACACAGCTGTGGGGAGCCAAGGGGCAGAAGGAGACAGGTGTGGGGCAGAGTGCAGTGACTGGAATCTCAGTGCTGGGAGCCCTCAGGAAGGCCAAAGGTGGGCCCAAGGTGGTCATTGTGACTAACTCTCTTCTGGGTGGGTGGCCTTTCTGTCCTAAGGCCTCAGGCCAGACCAACCCCCAGGACAGATGCCACAGAAAATTTAACTCCTCATATGACCCTCCTTTGTGTTCCTAGCACCATTCAGAGGCAGCTGCACAGTGAGTCCTACATGGCTGGGGAGCCCCTAGAGTGCTCCCTCTGCCCCCAGCCTGGACTCACACTCCCTGTGGCGTTTGCTCATGCCCTAGGGAAAAGCACCTGACTGTCACTCCTAGGGCCTCGCTGACCATCAGTGCTGGCCAGGGTGATAAATTTGGCCAATGTTGGCCCCACACACATACCTCGGTTCTGGAAGGACACCCCTGCCTCTTCCGTGCAAGCAGGGCTGCAGGGCGTTCCTGTGGATGGCTGCCGCTGGTCCCAGGTGCCTCTTCTCTCCTGTTCCGGGTCCAGTGTCCAGTAGGCCACCAGCTGGCCCAGCCTTGGCCCCCACTCCAGGGGCGGGGCCAGCTGGGGGCCTGCAACAACTCTGAAAGGGGTGTCCATGCTGTCATGAGCAGGGGGCTGCAAGGGTGAGGCTGCTGGGCAGCCCTCATCTATATGCTATGCCCTGGGCCAAGTTCAGCCTCTATGTGGTCTGCTGCCACCAGGGTCTGGGTACCTAGCCCCAGGCCCAGCCATCCCGCGCCCTGGCGTGGGTGGGGCTTTCAGGAAAGGTGCACATTGGTTTGGCCTGGGCAGCAGGCAGGCTCGCCAGGCCTTGTGGTGGCCAGGGTCACTTGCTGACCTCCTGAGCCACAGGCGGCCCCTGAGCTCCGTCTGCCCTCTAGGCTGGTTGCCCAGTGGAGCTACCGTGTGTGGTGGATGCTGAAGAGAGGCTTCGTGTCAGGACCTCATGACCAGAGAGCCCAGTGTGACCTTGCCCATTAGGGCATTTGGGTACTTGTAGGAGTGACCACTGGCCCTGCAACTGAAGAAATGTGGCCCAGCAGCCCTGCCTGTAGGGAGAGGAAGGACTGAAGGACAGCTGAGAGACCCTGGCAGTTCCCAGGCTGTGTGGGCTGCAGTTCTCACAGTCCCAAAGCCAGAGTACCCCAGGATGTGGGGTCCAAGGCCCCACCTGCAGCCATTCTGCCATCTGTCTTCAGTACATGGAGGTCATCCATCCAGCCTCTTCTGCTTCCTCTCAGGCCCTAGGGTCCCTCACATGTCAGGTTGGGTCTGGGCTGGGGACAGTAGGTGGCAATGAGGGAGATCTACCCTTAGCAACCTCTCAGTACCCTCTGAACCCTACCCCTGTAGGACCCCTCTGCCTGCCCAGCCTCCTCCTTGCACAGGGATTCCAATTAGAAATAGCTCTTAAAAAAAAAAAAGTAGAAATAGCTCTAAAACTAGGGCCTGGGAGGGCTAGGTGGGGGAGAAGTTGCTGGAATGTTTTCATTTTCTTTCCTCAAAAATTCTCTGGGGCCTCTGAGAGCCCAAGGCTTTTGAACAAGGAGAAGTCATCTCCCAGAGACCCCACAGCCCCTCAGCTACCCCACAAGCCCTCCCAGAGCCCCAGGGACAGGCAGCAGGCAGGGACAGGCACTCTGCACCACAGGGAGGGCACAGCCACATACCCGGACCTGGCCAGTGCTAGGCCTGTGGGCACCCAGTGAGCATGGAGAAAGCTCAGAGGGGCTGCCCAGGGAGTGCTGCACTGCGGGCTCAGTGGACGGCCCCATGACACACAGACAACACAGCAAGGCTTATTCAAGGGGTTTATTGTATCACTTGGGAAATGGGGAAGCAGAGAATGTAGAGACGGGGCAGGGTGGGGTGGCAGGACCAGGCGGGGTAGTGGGGCCAGGGTGTATGGTAGGGTCAGGGTGGAGAGGGCGGCGGGGCTGGGCAGGCCTAGTTGCAGTAGTTCTCCAGCTGGTACAAGGAGCAGATGCTGGTGCAACACTGCTCCACAATGCCGCGCTTCTGTGGTGGCACATCCAGGGCCAGGGACTGCAGGTCGCCTGTGATGGGGCTCCCGCCCAGCCCCACCTGCCCCACTGCTGGGTGGGCAGAGCCAGAGGAGGCCCCGGCACAGCATGAGGCCAAGAGAGATACAAGGTGATGCCGTCAGGGAGAGAGCACACACCTGCCCACAGCCCAGGGCCTCTGCTGGGCAGGGACAGGTGGCCCCCAAGCCAGCACATCCTGCTGCCTTTCCCCACCCATGGCAGGGCCAAAGTGGAGTGTGACACGAGCCCATTGGTACTTTCCCCATAGCCAATCCACCTCCTGACTCCTTGCTATTTGCTGGAGCCCATGGGCTGGGGCCCTGGACCCTCCCGCTGGCTAGGCCTTCATCAGAAAGTGATGAGTGTTTACCCACAGGCATGCAGGAGGGTGGGACGGAGGCCCCTGGCTCCAGGCTGCCCTGAGACCACCCGCCCCCAGGATGCTGCTGTCATCCTGCAAGGGCCGAGAAACGGTCTGAGGACATTTGTTTGAGGAGGTTAGGTGCTGGGGGGCAGGGGGTGATGGCACCCTCGAAGCTGCTGTCAGGGCCTCAGCCTCCCAAAGCCCACACTGTCCTCAAGCTAAGATGCCCCAGCTGGGCCACAGGGAGCTGGTTACTTTCAAGCTGGGAGCTAGAGAACTCCCTTTTGTTTTTAAAGCAGCCACCCTGGCTCCCTACAAGTGGCAGCTTCCTGCCACCTCTGCTCTGCCCTTGACGGGGCTGAGGGGTTGGGAGAGTGTGCGGGGTGGGGGGCTCACCCTGGGGGTCCTCCGTGTCCCGGCGGGCCTTGGGCGTGTAGAAGAATCCCCGCTCCCCACATACCAGGTAGAGCGCCTCCACCAGGTGGGAGCCACACAGGTGCTGGTTGACAAAGGCCGGGGCAGGCTCAGGCCCCCAGAGGGCCAGCAGGGCCAGCAGGGGCAGAAGGCGCATCCACACGGCCATGGTGGGGATACAGGGACCTGGGGGAGGGTGGGGCTGAGGCCAGTGCCACCAGATGCCCTGTCCCAGGAGCCCCTGCTTGTCCCCTGAGCACTCCAAAAGAGAAGCCCATGTCCCCCCATGTCCATCCACCCCTTGCAGAGCTTGGGCCTGGGATCCCGCCTCCCCAGAGTCCCCTGGCCAGGCAGCTTTGGGCCCAAGCTGACACAGAGGCCACCAGCACAGACCTGCTTATTGGCCACCTGGGAATACAGCTGGTCCTGCAGGGTTGGGCACTGCCTGGAGCTGCTGGCTTTATAGCCCCGAGCCCACCTCTCCTACCCCTGAGCCCTGTTGCCTAACCCATTAGGGCCTGGGTGGTTAGCAGATGGCCAGAGGCTGAGACTGCAGTTTCTGGGTCATTTCCCTGGTGCCAGGCCTGCAGGAACATCTCCTTGGTTGTCAGCACCTCTCGCTGGGGGCCAGCCGGTCATTAGTGTCTTAACGAGGGGCCTGATGGCCAGGCCTGTCCCTGTCGCAGCTGGGGGCTGCATCTCCAGGAAAGCGATGCCCAACTCAGCCTGCCTGAGCTGTTTTCCACATTAGTCGGGCAGAGTTTGGAGCTGCAGGGGGTAGGGATGTCTTTGTGCCAATGTCCTGGACCCCTGCCCACGGTGCCCCCATGGATGGTGTGGGGATGTGTGCTCTCCCTACTCACTGCATTGCCCCCCTCCCCCCATCCCAGGACAGCAGTCCCAGCTAGGGCCCTGGAGTGACAGAAATCAGTACATACCGCAGTGGCTCCAACAGGTACACCAACATGTATCTTCAATGACAGAGTGGCAGGTTCCCTCTGAATGGCCACCTGGCTTCCCACACATGCCACACACTGCCCAGGCATCCTCCTGGTCCCCAACCCTTTCCAGGGGTTGAGTCCATCTCTCATCTTCTGGCCAGTCCCTCCAACTCCATCCCACACCTTGTGTGTCATATAGGCTCACTCCCGGCCCCCACAGTCCGTCTGGACAGCCACTTAGAGGCCCAGCCTGACCACTGGGAGTGCATGGACACTGAGCCTCCCCTGCCCGTACCTCCAACCACTTCTTACTGCCTGTGTGAGGTCCTTTCAGTGGTTCCTTGAGGTCTCCTGAGGCCCAGGGGATAGGATGGGTCGAGGCTTCCTGGTCCCTGCCCTTCTGTCCCTGCTGCCCCAGGTTAGGCCCTTGCCCCTCCTCCCAGCCTGCCAATGGATCCCTTTGCCCAGCACTCAGCCAGGGCCACTTGGGGCTGTCTTCACCCACATTCTCAGCCTCAGCCTCTGTCTACCCCATGTAATGCTCTATAAGGGTACTAGCTCTTGTGGAGGGTGGTGTCCCATGCCATCATCCACACAGTGGCCACCTCTGAAAACCTACGGCCTCTCTACAGCTTGGGACAGTATGGTACCTCCTTAAGAGGGGTATATGGGGAGGGAGGCTGGATGGAATTGGCCCAGGTGGCGGGCAAAGCCAAGGCTGGCATGGCTAGGGGAAAAGGGAGGCCAGCAGCCTTCCCCAGGGCCTCCATGGGACTCACAGTCCTGAAGAAATGTCCCCAGTGTGGCCTGCTGGGCTTAAAGGATGTGGACACTGAGGGCCAGGACATAGGCCAGGCATGTGAGGAGCAGCTGATGGAAGGACAGAGAGCCAGGGTGGACTGGGAGGAGTGCTGTGACCGGGGGCCTTGAGGGATGAGTAGGAGTTTGCCAGGCGGCCAAACTGAGGCTCCTGACTGGGTGTGGTAGGGCCCTGCAGACCAGATGGCACCTGCCCTCACCCTACAAGGATGAGGGGGAGGCCCTCACAGGAAGCCCTGGGGCCTCTCTCTCCCAGGGCACAGGTGGATGAGGGCAGCTGGCCAGCCAGGCCTAGAGGATGCCAAAGGGTCCATCTGGAGCCTTCTTCCAGCCCCCACCTGTCTTGGGGGGGGGGGGGGAAGAGACCAGCCTGGAGAGCTCTCCTGGGTGCTACCCGTCACTACATATTTCAGGTAGCACATAGAGGTCCAGGTCCTGCTCTGGGTATGTGGGGGGAATCAGAGCAGCCATTTCCCACCCCTCATTCCCCTGCCTGCTCTCAGAGACTGGGCCTAGGCCTGGTGACAACCTCCCACCCCCATTAGCATGGCTGCAGCCCTGCTCCCTGCCTCCTCCTGCCACCTGTCCCCCCACCCCCCACTGCAGTGCTGCCACATGGGAGCCTCAGGGCCTCCTGCCTGATCAAGCAGCAGGGAGGAGGGAGGCAAGGGCGGCCCCAGGCCAGGCTGGGCACAGGGCTCTATGGGCCTGTCTGAGTCACAGAGTCACAGACATGGGGTCAGGCAGGTGTGCACAGACTATTCCTTCTTTATTGAGAGGGTGAATGGGGGGCAGACAGCATAGGGGGTGTCAGGAAGCACAGGGCCACCCCACAGCCCTGGGGTCCTAGTGGGCAGTAGCAACAGGACAAGGACGTCAGGTACACACACCAGCTGGCAGCACAGAGAAGCAGCAGGCAGGAACCAGGGGAGTCCAGGCATCAGGGAGGCATGGGAGGGCCCTGGTCATCAGACAGGCTCCAGGGGTGCACAAGACCCAGCCCACATGCGGGCCTGAGCTCTGGGACTCGTGGGAGCTGGACAAGGTTGGGAAAGGATCTAGGAGGCCCATGGATGGGCCCACTGGGGCTGTCAGGTTGCACCCCTGCACCTAGCTGATGGCACTGAGTGCATGGGTGAGGGTGTGCAGCTCATCCTGGATGCCCTTCAGGGAGTGTAGGATGGCCTGGGGGCTGTCCAGTACATCCACAGCCAGTGTGTAGGGGTCGAACTTTACAGAGAAAGGGCGCTGAATCCTCGAGGCATAGCTCCTGGGGAAGGGGGAACTCAGTCACCCAGTGGGGGGACCTGGGGCAGAGTCTGTGGCCTTAGGACAGTGGGAGATGCAGACTAGATCCCACTGGGTGGGTTCAGAGCTCCAGGACTCTTTCTAGAGTCCTGAAACTAATTCTGGGCTCTGAAAGCTAATTCTGTCCAAACACCTAGATGAGGCAGCTCTCTGAAGTCTCCTCCAGGGGTGGTGTGGGGAGGGGGTGGGAGATAGGCCTTTGACAAGAGAGCCTCTGCTGGCGCCCCCTCCCTCCCTAAACCTCGACCAGACCCCCCCCTTCCTTGACCTCATGTCTCTGAGTTTGCAGGTGAGATCCAGCCCTGCCCCAAGCCTGACACAGCCCTGGCCTCAGATTCCCCAGTGTACACCAGCAGGCTGGAGGGGAAATGGTAAGAGCCTTTAGGCTCTGCTCCCCTCTCCAGGACACCCTGACCACTGTACCCCCAGCCCCCCACCCTGGGAAGTCCCAGTGCCCCTGCACACCTGCCACAGCCCTGCCACCTTCCCATGAGGTGCCAGTTACTCAGAGGGCAGGGTCCAGGAAAGGCCCCTGGGGCCAGAAGGCCTGGGCCTGGCCACCGAGCAGCCCCCAGCCCCAGAGGTCTTCGGGCTCCTTCTCAGGGAGGGTGCACCTGCTATGAGGGCTGAGTCCCCTCATCTGTGACACGGCATAATAGGGGTGTGACCCCGAGAACCGGCCTACCTGAGCTTGTCCTTGGCATCACTGAAACTCTCGGACACGAAGTAGACTGACTGGTAGGCCTGGTCTTGGTAGGGCTGCACGGCTGCAGCCTCGGGGTCAAAGGCCCGGATCTCGGGTTCCTCAGACAGGCAGTGCTGGCAGGAGGCCACAGGGGTCACTGAACCCCAGGGTGGGCTGGGTATCCCCCATCTCACTGGTGCTCCCAGAAGCCTGGGGACAATGTGGGCTGGGGACTGGACAGGGACCAGCTTTCTCCCAAGAGGGCCTGAAACTCAGAGGCCCAATGACATTCCCCTCTGTGAGTGGTGGCAGCAGGGAAGGTCTCACCAGGAGCTCCCCGTAGGAGGACAGCAACCCAGCACCGTAGGCCTTCACCTGCCCATTCTGCTTGCACAGCCCAAACTCCACTGTGAACCAGTACAGCTGTTGGGACAGCCAGCAGAGTTGGCGGACGTAGCGGCCACCCAGCAGCCCCAAGGAAACGTGGCCAGCCACACTCCCAGAACAGACAGAAGGGTGTGGCCTGGATCTGGAAGAAAACCCTCACCTCCCCATCCCCCACCCCGAGGGCTTACAGGGGAAGCCACCCACCGTGGACAGCTTCTCGATTTCCTCATCTGAGGCCCCCAATGATGCGAGGCCAATGTCCTGTGGAGGGAGGGAGGCTGAAAGGCCTGGGGAGACAGTCCTGGCATCATGCATGAGGTGTCCACAGCCCCTTGGGAGCCTCTGGGACCACTGTCCCGGATGTTGAGACCACCCCCCCCCCTTGGCCACCAATGGCCCATGACCTGCTGCTCTCAAGGAGCCAGCAGGTGGCAGCACAGGCTGCAGGTCACCCCCACCCCCACCCCCCAGGGCTCTGGGCTCTTTGGGGACTGGTCAGAGTCAAAGCACTGGAGCCCCCAGGAGGGTCCACTGGCCCCATCTACTGTAGGGTGCCCTCACCTTGAGGCCTCCTACACCCATGAGGGCATCATACATCATGGGGGCAGCTAACCCCCACAGGGAGGCCCTGGAGCAGGCAGCACCACCAGCACAGAAGCCCCAGCCCTTGCCCAGCCCCTCAGGGAACCCTGGCTCTCAGCCTCAGGCCTTGGCGCACCTGGGAGAACTGGGCAAAGGTACGGTCAGCCAGCATGGGCACATGCCCCAGCAGCTCATGGCAGCAGTCCCTACAGCAGGGAGAAAGGGCTGGGCTGGGGCGGCAGTCTGCCTGGTACCCTCCTCACCCCGATTGACTTGGGGCCCACAGGGCCAGGCCCCTCCATGCTCTGAAGCATCCTTTCTAAAGGGGCACCCTGTTGCCTCATGGGAGGACGCAGCGTGCACTCACGGCTCGGGGGAGTGCATGGGTGAGGATGCGTGGCGGATGTACTGGGTACACTGGAACACACGGAAGGCCAGGCTGGCCAGAAAGTCACGGGCAGACAGAAGGCCGGCCACTGGCCGCAGCTGGAAGCCCGTCCGCTCTGCAAGGGGCCACATTGGTCAGGGTAGCATCCAAGCCCCACAAGGGCTTGTGGGGGACCATGTTCAGCCCCCTCCCCAGGACCCTTCCGCCACTGCACCCTTCAGGAAGCGGGAGACGTCCTCGAGCTGGGGGATGCTGTCCTCCCGGTAGCCGCTGAAGCGCTCCAGCAGCTGGAAGGCCTCGAGGTACTCACGGCAGGCATGTGTGGCGTAGAGGCCCTTCAGCCTGGTGTAGATCTCCCTCCTGCAGGCAAAGGGCTCAGGGCCTGCCTTGTACCCCAGTGCAGGCCCCCCACCCCGGCAGCCCTCCTGGGGGTTCTTAACCCTACACTCCTACACTGCACCCCCAAAGACTCTGGTCACTGAGAGGGACTTTGCAGGTGGTCTGAGGGATCCCATGAGGCAGGAGGCTGTGGGGGCCTCCCCTCGGTTCCTTGAGGGTGAACCAAGGGTTGAGCAGCCTCCAGCTCCCAGCACAATATTCTGGGATGGGAAAGTCCATCCTTCTGGGCTTAATTTGTCCTGCAGCACCAGTGTCCCTGGCGGCAGCCCTCGCACATCAGGGTTCTGGGAGCTGTCTCTGTGGCCCACTCTGATCCCTCCCCTGGCTGTTAGCAAGGTCTCACCACGTGGCAATCTCCTCTGCAGTGTACTCCACACGGGGAATTGGGTTGCCACTGTGGAGGGGACACCAGTGGTCAGTAAGTCCTCTCTGGGAGTAGGAGGGGCAGGAGGGACAGGGGAGGGAAAAAGCCTCATTTGGCTGAGACCCACACCACCCCTGTGCGGTGAGGCCTTGGGAGATGAGACAGGAGGCTGCCCTTGGCTGACTGTTCGCAGGGCCTGGCAATGCCCTGAGCCAGCTGTTGCTTCACCTCTCTATGCCTCAGTTTCCTCAGCTGTGATTTAGGGACAGTGCCTGTGCCCACCTGAGAACACGGTAAAGGGGATGGCTGGGTCAACACAGGCAGAGCCCTGGGGCAGTGTTGCCTGGCAGGAACCTCAACCTCTAGTCAGCAGCCATGGTGACGGCAGAGGTGATGAGGCTAGTGACAAAGATGGCCCTCCCCTTGCCCTCTCTTCTATCCCCAGGTCGGGTGGAGGCTGCAGGACACAGCCTAGTCCCCGGGGGGGAGGGCCCTTACTGCCGGTACTGGAAGGCTATGTCAGCGATCTGCTTCCTGCGCTGGCGATACACCTGGTCTGAGAAGCCCTGGGGGCAGAGAGAACATGTGCCTGGTCAGGCCTGCCCTGTCCCTCCCCTGCCTGCCAGCCCAGGTGAGGCTGTGACACACAGGGGTGCCAGGCCATGGGAGTCCTGCAGCAGATCAGCCACCCCCCTGGGGCCAGGCTAAAGGTGGAGGGACATGACTGGGGAGTGGAGGCTCACAGGGTGGTCCAAGTCCAGGTCAGGATCAAACTTGGTGACCAGGTGGTGACACTTGTCCAGCTCCGACGCTTTTCTTGGGAACCAGGGGACTTCATAGAGAAGAGAGGGAAGAGGTTCTAAGTGAGTGAGGGGCTGGGACAGTGCCACCTGGAAGCAGCCCCTGGGGACTTCCAGTGAGGCAGAGCCTGGGACTGTGACGGATGTGGGTCCTGGAGGTGGCGCATGTTAGAGCTCCCTTGGGAACCTCTGCATCCCAAGGTCTCAAGGTCATTTGGTTGCACTCAGGACAGGAAACTGGCCTCACCTTTGTCATCCTTGGGGCTGCGCACGTCTCCTGACACTCGGTGCACGGCCCTGAGCAGGTTGGCCAGGTCACCTCGGGGCAGCTCACAGCGCACCAGGTACTCCAGGCGGGGGCCACCGGGGGTCCGTGCCGGCCGTGTCTCCAGGTGGTGGATTTTGGCTTCAAAGGTCTTAGGGGGAAGGAAAAGTAGGAAGGAGAGAAGGAAAAAGAGGCAGAGCTGGGGTGTGGGAAGTGGGAAGGAGGGGGCACTTCCCGGCTCGAGGGCTCCGCCCTGCCCTGCTGTCCACAGTAGCCTCTTCCAGACTCAGGACAGACAACTGCCACCTGGCTAGCAGCAGCCTCTGGCCAGTGAGCTACGTCTAGCTCAGAATGGTCATTTCCCAATGCCATCTGTCTGCATGTCTGATGCTGCACCCAGGCAGCCTAACTCTTGCTGGTCAGAAGGCCCTGGCACCCCTGGCCATCTCATCTGGGTTTAACGGCCACTCCCAGGTCTGGTGGGTAGGCCCCTAATCCCACCTTGTCATGGAAACAGGGCTTAGGTCCCCAAAGAGAGAACCCTAAGCACCCAGGGGTCTGGCAGACAGGGTCCACTGCATTGCCACCCCCGTCACCTAGCAACAAGGGCCATGGGTCACAACGGCCCTCGGGCCATGAAGCCAGCCCAGGGAGCTCATGGGGAGTCCGGCTCTGATGTCATTTGGGAGTCTTTTCTGGGAGTGTGGTTGGAGCAGCTAATACGAACACTGTCACATTAGCTGCTGGTGGGCAGGTAGGTTGGAGCAATGTGCAGCCCTGCCTCCACTTCCCAGACTGCCCTGTCGGAAGCCCCACACTACTCCCCTTTGTGCAGGTGGTGATGGGGAGCTGGGCTGCATGGCAGGCTTGGTGGCCTCAGCCCCTAGGCTTGGGCTCACAGGGCTGCTCCAGGGCCACAAGGCTCCTCAGACCTCCCCTTCCCAGCTCGCAGTAGCCTGGGGAGACCACTTTTGAGGTGGAGGGGACAGGGACCCACCTCTGAGACAGCCCTGACCCCACAGATGCACCCACAGATGCACACACGTGTGCACAGCTGCCCACGTGCCCTCACCTCAAACACCTTCACAGCTTGGGACAGCGTGGAGGGCTTGGTGCCTCCCAGGGAGAAGAGCAGGTTCAGCACCGCCTTCCCCGCCTTCTCCTCGAACACCACGGCCTCCAGGGGGTCCCCGGGCTCTGAGGAGGCCGCTGCTGCCGCAGCCACGGCTGCCTCCCGCTCCTTGCGGGCATCCTCGATGAGACTCTGCCGCCGCCCGATGAACCGCGGGGACTGTGGGGACAGAGGCGTACCCACTGAGGCCTCACAGACCCCTCAGGGCCCCCATGTGGGCTTCACACAGCAGGCAGGAAAGGAGGGATCTGGCTTGGCCCAGACCACATCACTGAGCTCCTACTGTGCGCCTGCTGGAGCAGAAGCCAGGTACAGTCACTGTCTGCCTCCACCCCACACCCTGATAGAAAATGCTGGAAGCCACAGCCATGGGGGAGGACAGGAGCGACAGGGTGCCCTCCCACCCTCTGTAGCATAAAGCCACTGTATCACCTGCTCCCGGGCCTGGCCCTAACTAGATTACGGCAGGGAAAGGGCTACTCAAGGCCTGTACGTCTTGCGCCAGCCTCTGTGATGGACAGATGTGTGCTGCACGGGAGCAGGGGTGGAGCAAATGGCAGCAGCTGTCCGACCTGAGCCCACTGGACAAACTCCTTCCACGGCCAGGCCTGGCCCATTTGCACGGGACTTTCCTCACACCTAGGTCTGGATGCAGGTGGCTCCCTGCTCAGCACCCTCATCCACCTCCAAGCCCTTCCCCCTTTAAACTCACGTCCTGAGCCCTGCCCCCTCCTCACCGCCCTCCCTGCAGCCCTCTCCTCCCAACTACCTCATCAGCGCTCTGGGCACAGGCTGCTCCCAGGAGTGAATAGCTGAGTAGCTCTGTGTCTTTCCCAAGACTGTGAGCCCCTTGAGTCAGCACATCTGCCACTTCCAACCCCCCAAACCCCTCCCAGTGCTGAGGCAGTACTTGGCAGGTGTTGGGGGCTCCTCAGTGGAGTAGAACTTCAGAGAATGTTCTGGGTCCTTTGGTAAGAATGAACAAGCTTCACCATGCCCACACAAGGGGAGCAGCAGAAGTCCCCCTGACCCCTCATCACCCTTGCAGGTGGGCGGTGTGGACTCAGCCCAGGCTGCAGACCCAGGCCAGGGAGGAGCAGCGAGGCTGAGTCTGGTCCTCCCTGGGGATGGCTACCTGGGGGACAACCTGGTGGTGCTGTGGGCGCTCTGTTGTACCCCGACAAGGGGCCTGGCAATGACGCCTCTGTAACTCACCCCACATATTCACTAGAGGGCTGTGGAACAAAGCCCATTTGAGATGCGCCAGGGAGCTGATTACTCCAGCCTGAGAGGATGAGCTGAGGACATTTCTTGTGGGCTGAGACGCCCCCGAGGACCTGGCCCGGCACAGCCTGCCCCACACAGATCCTATGAACTCTGGGCTCCTGAGTGCCCCTCCAGGGAGCCCAGACTCAGGATGAAGCAGTGAAGGAAGGAACAGTGAAAGGAGGGAGCGGAAATCACCTCAGAGCCCAGACACCATTTGGCACGGTAGGACCTGCACCTACACCCCTGTGTGCCTGGGACCCCACACCCAGGGGGGTCTGCCAGGGCCTGGGGGCCCCTCCCCAAGCGGGACAGCTGGGGGCAGAGAGAAAGCAGGTGGGCAGGAGGAGGGGCCCTCATGGGGGACATTTGCTCACCAGGGCTCCCTCCCAGGATACTGGGAGCTGTTTCCCAATTGGATTCCTACCCCTTAGATTCACAAGGAAACAGAAGCCACAGGGCCTGCCCCAAGAAAGGCTGGCACAAGGAGGGCTCTATGGCGATAGGTAGGCACTATCCACCACATGCAGGTGGGCAGGATGCATGCAGGTGGGAGGGACCACCACCCAGGTACAGGGGTTGCCTACAGCCCAGGAGCCTACCAGCCATGGGGTGTGGAGGACTCTTGGGCCAGCCCTGGGTTTCTGCTGACTCCTGCTGCAGCGCACCACGTGCCCTCTTACCATGATGGCCTCGGCCTGCTTGGCGTCCAGCTCAGAGACGGCCCTTCGGAAGCCCTTGGCCTGGGGTGTGGCGGCGTTGGGGGTGGGCATGATGCTGTGTGGAGGTCCGGGCTCCTCTCCACAGCCCTCAGCTGGGCGGCCTCTTATAGTCTGGGCTGACGTCAAAGCCCCCGGGTCCCCCACCTGCACCTCCTCACGTCCTCCCTGCGCTGCGCCTGAGGGAGGCGGGGGCGGGCGAGGAGCGGAGATGCAGGAGAAAGGGCTCTGTCCCATTAAATCTAATTGCAGCCACTGTCACAGGCACCGAGCAGGGTCAGCCCAGCCCTGCCGCTGAATCATCCTCAGCTCACATGCTGCAGGGGCTGGGGGCAGCAGGGTCCCCTCAGCCCAACCAGACGGGCACTCAGGGAGAGGCTGTCCTGGGCACCTCACGCTGGGCCTTCCTGGCAGATGGGCCCAGAGAGGCCGGGAGGGGAAATGCAGCCTCAGGCCTCTGTGTCTGGAGCCAGTTCCTTTGCATCTCCAGAAGATTCTTCACTTCACCAGATCCCCCCTCAGGGTCCCACACTGTGTTCCCATCAAGACACAGCAGACAGGAGCTATCTGCATGCAGCTCCCAGGCCCTGTACCCATGGCCCTGGTGCATGACCAGTGAGACCTGGGTGTTCCAGAAGGGCCCACCCCTCCAGCGAGGACCTGGGAGGACCCAGGAAAGGGCAGTCTCTTGGAGTCCCACTGGTGGCTGCCCTGCCCCAGTTGCACAGTCACAGCCCTGTCTGGGGATCATCCGACACCTCTCTCTCCCCTCAGAGGGCCCAGCTGAACCTTGTCTTCCCCAGTCGGGCCCTGGTGGTGGCCTTTTGAGGGAGCTGGCTCTCTGTGGAGCCCCCGGGACCCCCTCCAGGACTGTTCAGGCCAGATCCTGCAGCCTGCAGTCACCCCATGCTCAGCCCAAGCCCACTGGAACCTTCTTCTCCCAGCGGCCCCATCCTGAGCATGACTTCTCCCAGGACAAGGGTTCCCTCTGTGGTCTGCCCCCAGGGAAAGTAGTGAGGGGACGGGGACCCCTCAGGGGCAAGTGTGAGCCCCACGCTGTCTGGCTCTAACCCCTCTCCCTGGCGCCATTCCCTTTTTGCCAGTGATGGCTTTGGGCAAAAGTGTGCAGGTGGCAAAAGAGGCTTCTGTGCCTTTCTGGGGAAGGAGACTTGCAGAGGGGAAGCCCCCCATCCCTCTGGGGGTATAGGGACAGCAGAGACAACGTCAGACCAGAAACGACCCTGAAAATGGTGGCACAGAGAGGGAAGGGACTCACTGTCACCAAACACCTGCTACCCACGGTCCTCCTAGAGAGGAGCTGGGTCTGAGGACAGCCCCTAGAACTGGGCCTTCTAGAGAGACCTAACATAGCCAGAAGCCCTGGCCTCTCCCCCAGGTCCCTGAGGGTTCACCCTGGCTGCTCCCCAATTACCTCCAAAAAGGCCCCAGGGACCTGCTCTAAAAATGGTGCCACATGTCACTCCCTCTTTCTGCAGCCCTCAGTGGCTGTCAGTGCCCTTGAGAAGCAGGCTAAGTGCTCAGTCAGGGCACAGGAAAGACCCAGCCCATCCCCTATGGCCCATCACCCCATGGCTCCAGAGCCCTGGATCAGGGCCAGCTCCTGCACAGCCCACAAAACAGCTCCCAGACCACCAGCTCCGCAGCCCCTGCTCCTGATGTCAACACTCCTCCACTGTTCTCCTGTTGTCTGCTCCTCCTCTGTCACCTCCCAGGGGCAGAGACTCCTAGCTTGGCCATGGCAGCCCCCAGTGCCCTGTGCAGGCACTGCCTCACCTCCTAGATGCTGGGGCCCTCAGGAGCAGGGCCTGGAGCCTGGCCCAGGGCAGCCTGGGATGTGTGTCTGAAGTGGCCTGGAGAGGACTTGCCCCAGGGCCCTAGGGAGCAGGCCCGGCTCAACCTCAGTGTCCTCACACGGAGGCCCAGGAGCCTCTTCTGCACCAGATGCAGCCGACCCCAAGGCTCTGGACAGGCCCGGTCCCCCACCCCCTCTGCAGAGGGACTCCTGGGTGAAGTCGTCCAGGCCGGCAGCCTTGCCCCCGCCAGCCCCACCCTAGCCTGCCGGTTTGCACAGGTGCGCAGGCCAGGAGGGGTGACATGTCTGACAAATACCAAGCTGAGGATGGCAGCCCACACCGCCGGATGTGGATTTAACCTTTTAGCAAATGTCTTCCACTGATACAAATATTGTTTTTTAATTCACTTTCCTGCCTGGGCCAGCCGCACTCGCATGGAAGCTGCACGAGGAGCTAAGCTTTCTAGACTCTTCCCTGGGGCCAGACTCCCTGCAGGGCCCAGGCCTGGGGTTGAGGCCAGGCAGCCCTGGAACCCCACTGAGGCAAGTGCTACCTCTGCCCCATCGAAGTGCCCACTGAGCACGGGGCCTCCCCATACCAGCCCCTCAGGGAGGGCTGACATGCTGAGCCATGAAGTCCACCCCTGGCCAGCATCCTACCTCCCAGCCCAAGGGTCCCCCCAGCTTGGACTTTGCAGGCTCCAACTGTGCCCTGCACCAGGTGCTCCCAGCTGCCACTGCCCTCTCCAGAGACCCCCACGGGTGATGCTCTGCTGGGGCACCAGCATGTCCCAGCACAGGCCTGAGAGGGACATGCAGGTGACCCCCGGCCTCGGCAGAGCCCAGCGCTCGGGATCCTCCCAGGGTGACCTGTGGCAGCACCTTCACATAGTTGAGGACCCATTCTGTAGGGGTGCAGGGAGGGATTGAGGCTCCAGGGCAAGGCTCCTTTGGGTTGCACAGCAAAGTCTCTGGCCCAGTTTCCAACTTCCAAGACACTGATCTTTCAAACCCCTAGTGGTGTCTGCCCCCAAGGTACTCAGGACCCCATCTTGGGTGGGGGGACAGAGACCTTAGAGGGATAGGCAGACCTGGGCAGGGCTTCTCTGGAGGCCATGATCATACCTGAGAAACCCCCAGGTCCAGTCCAGAGACCCTCAGGAAGGAGAGGGGCTGGAGAAGGAGCCAGAGGCAAAGGCAAGAAGACCAGAGAAGAGGCCCCCAGCAGCACTGGGACCCATGGGAGTCTGGGCAGCCCTCACTGTCTCCTCACTTGCTGGGGGGGGGGTTGGCTCCCTGCCCCGGGCCCCTCCTCTCAGCGTCACTGGGGTAATTGTGTACCTGCCATCCCGGCAATTAGGAGGTGACGGGCCCCTCTCTCTCAGCAGCCTCTTCCTGTGCCCAGGCTTAATGACCCATAATGACAGCAAACAGGGCCACCATGTGTGCCACTCTCTAGCCCAGGCAGGGTGGGCATTGGATCATACCCCCACACTACCAGGCTGCTCCACCCTCAGGAGCCACTACAGGGCCACGGGGCCAGCCTGCCAAACGCTCCTCAAACTGAGGCCACCATGTGGCTCTGTGGGCCCCCCCCCTCGCTGCAGACTCCTGGCAGTGAACACCACCCCCCACCTTGGCCATAACCCTGCCATATGTGGCCCTTGTCTTCTTAGCCACATGCATCGTGCGGACCCAGAAGCCCGGCTGAGACTCTGCATGCTCTGGAGTTCACAGTGGAAAATCACATGCAGTCTGGGGAGACCTGCACCCCAGAAAGCCAGGATCAGAGGACACCTCATCCCTGTGCAGAGCATGACCTTTGTCAGTCAGCTCTTGTGTCCCCTAACAAGTACCTGGGCACAAGGACACATCTGTGTAATGTACACATTACACACCTGTCTCAAACCCGCACACGCATCACCCTCATGTACACACCTCCCTTACACACACACCACTCTCACATACACACCTCCCTCACACACACACATCCTTCACGCATGTACACACACATCCCTCTCTCAAATACACACACCTCCTTCACACACACACACCACCCTCATGTACACACCTTCTTCACACACACAGGCATCTCTCTCATACAGACACACCTCCCTCACACATGTACACACACATATCCCTCTCTCAAACACACACACCACCCTCACACAGGTACACACACATATCCCTCTCTCAAACA